TGCACCTGAGCGGAAGTAGCGTTGATTTGTTGGCTGGAAGACATTTCGAGTGGTGTTTTGGTGGGTAGGTTTGTGTTCAGGAGAAGAAACCTTAACGGTCCCACGGGTGGCGTCAAAAATGATGGTGTAAATTACTTGACCGGTCAAACTATACTAGACCACGTCTAGAATAGTTCGCTTGATTTGGCAAAGTAAGAAAGGTAAAAACACGCAGATTGACCGGTAGGACTTTAGGTGGAACACCTGTAGCCCAATTTATATTATAACAGAGAATGCACGGGTGCTTTTACAAGGGAGTTTAGAGGAAATGAATTCGGATCCCTCTTTCTGAGGTTTACATGAGTATTTATACTAGGCTAAGGGGACAGGACCACGTGCGCCCACGTGGGGGCATGCTGCTGATGTGGTGCGAGGTGACTGGTTTCGTCCTCGAGCTGCCTTGTCGCCTCGTGAGGGGGATTATTCCCTTTGTCAGGTAGTGCCTTGGATGGATTCTTCAGCATCTCCAGTTGTCCTCTACTGACACGGGTCGCTACACGCCAAGCCCTCGTAGATTCTCCTCTGCCGACGCTTTCCAACCCTAGAAACTACACCGGGTAATTTCTGAGGGATGAGTTTATCGTACTTAGGGAATGAATGGAGTGATAAGTAGTTTGACCGGTATACTTTTTGTGAAGTGTACCGGTCATATTTTGGCCGATGATATATTGTTTTGCTGACGATTTAAGTCTCCCTTCCAAAACTTTCGAGATTGACCGGTCAAAGATTCGGCCTTCTCTTTTGACCGGTCTTGGGTGAAATACACCCATCAGGGTCCAAATATTTTCATTCTTAGTTGCATTACTTGCATATCTACTTATTTAGAGCATTATTTTCAAAATTGATCCAAAAACCTCATTGTTTTTCTTGGGGCTTTATTTCTGAAAGATGACAAGTGTATACTTTATAAACCCGCATTGCGTCTTGTGCTCTTTTCTTGATAAAAATGACCTTAAAATGTTTGAAATCCTTCTAGGAATCCCATAGAATTTTGTTTTCTAGAACTGGTCATCCACATATTATCTAGATGCTGCCTAATCAACCATTGCTCGATATTAAAATCTGAAAAAAAGAAAGAAGAGAAACCAGGAACCCTTTTAGAAAATAGTGTGATTTTTTTCTATTCTTAGGCTTATTGAGGAACCTTGCTACCGTTGCCATTGAGCCATTTTAAACTATAGGATTTTCCCTTAGGAAACTTTTTTGTGGCAACTTTAAAGCATTTTTTTAGAACCCAATATATCCATTGTTTAGTTCTCCATCTTGTAGGATTTTTAGCTCACTTTTTTTTCCAAAAATATTTTGGGCATAAAGTTTTAAGTGTGAGTGTGTAAAGTGCAATTTGTTCTTCTTGGTGATGATAAAAAGAAATCTATTTTCTCTTTGGTCTTCTGAACGAGGACGTTCAAGTCTTAAGTGTGGGGGTATTTGATAAGCCGGTTTTGAGTTAGTACTTTTTATTCTTTTTTAGGCTTTTTAAATATTTTTAGAGTTTAATTTTTAGTTGTTTTGCGTAGTTTTATTTTAATTCTATTTTTTACAATCTTTTAATTTTCTTTCATAAATAGTAGTTTTTTAATCATTTCTTTTTACATTTTATTATTTTAATTTTTTCTAACCCAAAATTATCAAATATCTTATTTTTGGTGAAAAATATAGCAAAAGGCCAAATTGAAGTTCAAGTTTGAAAATAAGGAGGGGTGAGTGAATTGGGTCGGAGCCCAAGCCAATTATCAGCGAGAATTATCACCCAAAGTGCTCAAAGAGAAAAGAAAGAAATCCCTGAGCACCGTGACCAAATCCAAACGGAAGAGGAGGCATCAATTTCTCTTTTGCGTCTCACTCATCCGCGCCTTCCTCTGTAACGGACCAACTGGAAGAAAAGCTCCTGCTATAAATTGATAGAAGTACCTTAGGGGAACAACGGAGGAGGGAATTCACACGGAGAATAAAGCAGCGGCTTGGCCGCTGCTTTGGTGGTCGCCGGCGATTGTGGCAGGCGGCGCGGCGAACGGCCGGCAGACGCGCAGCAGCTCCAGCTCCGGTGGGCAGCCTCGCTCCAGTTTACTCAATTTGTTCATCTTCTTCGTCTAATGGTAACCCTTATTTATCAATTTTTATCTTTTTCCTCCAATTCTATATAAAAGTTTGCTTTTTGTTCAATTTTCACATTTTTTTGCTTGTTGTGTTTGTTTCAAAAATTCTAAAAATGGTTGGTGTTCTTATTTTTGGGGTCTTTTAATGTTTATATTAAATCCCTTATGAATGAGAATTGATTCAAACTAGTTTTTCTTCAATTATTGAGCAAATTGTTGTTGAATTGGTTGAATTGCATAATTTGATTTCATAAGTAGGTTGGTATGTGGAATTCGGTTTTTGTTGAAGCTATTTTAGCTCCATAAGGTAGTTAAATGAGCTCCGGATTCATATGTGATTCTTTGTTGTGTTTGTGTTCGTTGATTTTAAGAATTTTGGACTTCTTGGCTCCATAAGTTGATTCATTTTCCTTAGAATTCGTTATTGAGTGATTGTCATGTTTTCGTATGTTTGTTTGTTGTTTTCATTAATTTGAGGTTGTTTAAGCTCAAAAACTGATGTTTGGAGCCTAAACAACCTGTTTGTTGTTTGTTGTTTTCATTACCTTTTGCTTAAACAACCTCAAATTTTTGAGTAATTTTGTACTCAAATTCCTGATTTAATGAAAATATGGTGTTCATCTATGTGAATAGAAAAAACATCATTGGTTTGAGAAGTTAATGGAAATCTGTGAAATGTGCTCATCATTAGGAGAAAAAATTTATTAAAATGCATAAAGTATTGGCGGTTTGTGAATAGATTATGTATGAGAGTTGAATGCATAATAGATTCTCTCTTTTATAAACTTTTTCTATAGTGGAAGTATGTTTTCATGCTTGAATAGAGAGTTGGGGTTCTAAGGTATATTTCAAAACGAGCCTTTGAATTGCATGACTCCGGGCCGTGTGGAGAGTTGACAATCCTCCATATCGTGGTTAAGGAAATGAATCGACTCGGCCTTTGATTGATTTTTCCTATTCTTAAGTGCGTAAGTTACGTAATATATTGTCTACGTGCCTATTCTACGTGTAATGTTCGATTTGTGTTTGTTTTTTTTTAATTTTGTTTCGGGTTCTTGGCGGTGTTTTTCGGGTTACCTTGGTTGAGGAAGTTGATTATCTTTTGAGCTTGTTTTCCCTCATTTTATCAAAAAATCAAAAAAACAAGAAAATATAAAAACAAATTTTTTTTTACTTTTTATTCAACCCCCCTTTTTATATTCTTTTAGTTTATAATATAAGTTTTTATTTACTAAGTTTATTTAATAAGTGTTTGTTTATAAATTATAAATATAAGTTTTTATGTTTTATTTACTTTTATATACTTAGGTTTTTGTTATGAGTTTCTAAGTTATATTATAAGTTCTATCTTTATAAAAGCTATAATTATAAGTTTTATATTTATTTATTTAAAAGTTTTATAACTGTTATCATATGTGTAGTAGTTAGTTTGTTTTATTTAGTGACAATGTGTGTGCATGCTAATTTGATTTCAAAAGTACAAATTTTCTCCGTGGGATCGACCCTTACTTGCCCTAGCTATAGTTTTTATTTGATTATTAATTGGGGGTTAGTTAAGGATATTTTATAAATTTTTAATTTGTTTTGGACCGCACGACAAGTCCTCAACACCTTTTCTTTATATGTATAAATGAGACTCCAAGCTCTAAGGAGATGACATGTGGCATTGCTAGGAGCTGACATGTGTCATTACTTAGAGTTGACATGTGTCATTACTTATGTGGTTTTTATGCAACCCAATTTATAAATTAAATAAAAAGAAAAGAAAATTATTTTTATGTAGCCATTTCTAACACCTAATATGTCACATAATTTTTCATATGAAAAATATAAATTAAAAGTTTGGTAAGAAATATTTGATTAAATATAAATATGGGGAAAAATTTCCTTTTTACAATAATATTGTTTCTAAATTCTATATTTGCTCTTTATTTATAACAAATTTTTAGAATAAAATATAAAATACTCTCTTCACCTATAAATAAATTTTATAACTATTTATTATACCTTTACTTGAAATTAGTTTTTTGATTAAATTTATTTAAATATTGACACCTAATAAATAAATTGCTTTCTTCACCAATAAATAACTTTAATATTAATTTTGACAGCTAATAATCTAATATTCCACTCAATTAAAAATATAAAAAAATGTGAAATCAATATTTTGGTATGAAATCTTTGAATAAATTTAAGTATGCAAATAAAACATTCGTTTTAATGATAATATCCTTTCCCAATTCAAAACTTTTTACTCTCTTATTTTATAATAAAATTTTCAACCAATAGATAAGATGGTTTTTAACCTCTAAATCAATTTGATACAAGCTTTTGTTTATGATATGTTAGAACGAAGTTAGTTTTGATTTGATTCATTGAAATATTGATGTAAAATTTAAAACACAATATATTTTAAAATTTACATCAAAAGATATATAGAATAAGAGATGACTAAACTATAATTATATTACAATAGTAAAAATACTGTGTGTAATTTCATAATTCGATTATATTGATTTTATGATTTGACTTTATTATATAAAATTTATAGTTTATAGTCCTTAGGCTATTTATGATTTAAATTGAAAAATATAATATTCTTAGTCATCTCTTATGAATTATGATGTGATATTTTTAATTAAATTATACTCCCTCCGTCCCCCTGTATTTGTCCACATTTGACTTTTGAAACTGTTCATCTAAGCACTTTGACTCATCAAATTCTCTCAATGTGTAAGCCTAAATATAGTCACGTGTGATCTTGTTTGATTTGTCTTAACATATACTCCCTCCGTCCCCTTAAGATGTTCTCATTTTGACTTTTGGTGGTTTTTAAGGAGAGTTGAAAAAAGGTGAAAATTTACCATAATACCCTTAATAAAAATGGATGGAGTGTATTAAATGAGGTGGGTGAGGTGTAATAAATAAAGTAAGTGGGGGTAGTTGTGGTATTTTAATTTTAAAAAATGAAATGAGAAGATCTATTGTGGACAAAGAAAAAGGGCTATTGAGAAGATCTATGGAGGCGGAGGGAGTAGATTATTAATATATAATTTTTATAATTTTTTTAATATACAAATTACAAGATAAAATGGATTAAAGAAGTGCATTGGATTGTGTGTAAAAATGAAAGTGGACAAATACAGGGGACACTATATTTACACTAACATTCTTTATGATTTCAATATTATGAAGCACATTTAATTATGAAAAATAGATCATCACTTTCATTAGAATACATTTTTTAAAGTTTTATATTTTTTCACAACATTTATAATAAAACTATCAATGAATAAATGAGATTTCCTTCCTTTAAAATACATACTTTCATAACTTCTAAAAAATCATATTTTTATGACACACTTAAATGAATTTAGTTTTTATTTTATTTTTTAAATATTGATATAAAATAAAATTTTAAAAAAATATATTTTGATCTCTGCATTAAACTACTACAAACGACTAGCCTATTTTCAAAATGATCAAATATTTAAATCAAATAAATTAAAAAGGGAGTAATTTGTACTCAAATAAAAAGAAAAAACACAAAAAAAAACTATAAATATTTTTGTAAATTTCTACTCAAAATCATAGAATCACTAATGTTTTTTCTATTAATTTCTTTAATTAATGCTAATGAATAGAATAATTGGATTTTTAATTATTTTTTATTTTTATTTTTTGAATTATAAGATTTCTAATCTATGCTTTTATTTTTTGACTTATGCGTGGAGAGAAGAATCATTTCGATATTTTTTAATCAATGCAAGAGAGGAAAATCATGATGGTACGTGAGAGATGAATAATATTTATTTTGCTATTCAAAATTAAAGTAGTGATGCAGGATAGAAGAATCATATTCTTTGAATCATAACTAATGCAAGGAGAATAATATTAGAATCACCAATATATTTTTTAATTAAACTGTGGAAAGAAAAGTAATATTTTTTTAATCAATATGAGGAAGTAGAATAATATTAATACGGGAAGATGAATCAATTTTATTCGACAATCTAAACTAATATGGGGAGAATCATTTTTTTGCCTATCAATGACGGTTGTATAATGGCTATGTCAAGATTGATGTGGATGCTTTAACAGTGTTGGCTAATAGAGTGTCGGGGTTCATTTTATTGCTTGAAATTATCAAGGGACTTTAATGGTAGAGGAAATTTCAGACCTAAAGAAGTGGAGGTAATTTATGTAAATGAGGCTTGAACCTTTATCAAGAACAAAGATGGGAGGCATATCTTTGCGGAAATAGATTGCAACGAAGTGATTGATGCTCTTAATAATTCCACCAATATTATGATTTAGTGAGTGAGAGTATAAGTCGGGTTGGAAGTATCAGTTTTAGATGTTTTTGGTAGTCTTTTATAACATCACACAAAAATGTTATATACCTTAATTTTTCAAAATGTTCTAATTTAAATAAGAGTCTGACATGTTAATTTTCAAATATATATAGTATAATTTTCATTAGCAAAGATTATATTTCCTCTATCCCATAAAACTTTTCTCCTTTCTTTTTTAATCCGTCCCAAAAAAACCTTTCTCATTACTAAAAAAACTCACTTTTACCCTTATCAATTCTTAACCTGTCTATCACATCATAGTTTTCACTATTAATCTACCCAACACATCTTACTTTTATCCATCTTATCGAAGGAGATTTTTGAAAGATCAACATCAAAATAAATCATTAAAAAGTCAAAAAGAGAAAAGTTTTGTGATATGGAGGAAGTATATTTTATCATTATTCTAACTTTTAATGTTGATGTTTTATTTGGTATATACGATTCTTTAAAAATGTTGTACCCGGAGTAGCAAAGAAAAATTAAAAATTTGTTCCACCCGTGCATGGCACGGGTTAAAAGACAAGTTTTTTTTAGATAAATTGGACTTTCCAGACATAAATTTGGTGGGGTCCACAAAATTATTTTCTAAAATAATTATGGACGTTTAATCTCGTAAGTAAGATAAATGTTTCGACATATTATACGACATAAATGGTTCTCGAGTGAATGGGAAATTAATTCTCAAAGTTGAATATGAGGGAAGAGTAAAAAACCCTTGTCCCACACCGATTTTTGAACCTTTCGTATTCTCATATTTAAACTTGAACATTTAATTGAGTTTATGAAAGGAACAAGAAAGGACTCCTCGCGCGCCGCCACTGCCGTCCGGCTCGGCAAGCCACGCGGACGCGCCGCGGTGGGGCGTGGCCTGGGGCTGCGGCGGAGCTAGTTTTTTACGAGATCGAATTAAACACGCATGGACACTTTGTGATTAACGAAGTGTGGATTGTCCAAGGGAAATGCATGCATGCCGACCGAAGAGTCACTTTTAGAAGAAACTTTAGCTCAAATTCTTAACTATGAAATTGAATTCTCTAATTCCAATTCATTTTTGGCACTATCAATTCCAAATTTACATATTTTTGTGCTACTAAATATCAGAATTGAAATTGTTGTTCTTAATTTTAATTCTATAGTTTAAATTTTGTGTACCAAAGAGAGTCTTAGTTGTAAGTTCGTGGGGGCGCAGCGGAAATCACCAATTAAGAGATATGCAAACAAACAATCCACTATGCTGCAGAGAAGACGCTGCAGCACTGTCACAGTACGTGATGACGGACAGTGCTATAACACTTCTTTGTCACAAGCACGCACACAGAAGCAGATGACGCAGAGAGCGTTACAGCACCTACTGGGCAGAATGCTGTAATTATAAAAAGCGTAAAAAATAACACCAGGTATGTTTACGCAGTTCGGAGCAAATTCTCCTTGTCTGCGGGGCCCACGTTCGTGTAATAGCCCTCCACTAAATCACTAGATGCAAGTTACACCGGTACATAACAACATGATGAGACACCCTTCTCCGAATTGCTATAACAAAACTTCTAATCTAGGATTTCTAACCCGAACTCTGTTCAGATCCGCTTCGGCTATCACATCTCCACCGAGATCACGAGGACAAACGTGTTGGCAGCCCACTCCTTAAGCTCTGGTTCATCTCTTGGACGTCACGATCTGTTTGGCGTTGAAGATCTCCTCCTTCATGTAGATCGTGACCTTCTTCACGCATGGGAAGCTTCGGGACGCGATGGGAACGCTCTACATCAGCGTATATTCTTTGTTTTCTCTCTCAATCGCTCCAAGTAATTCCCAGGGACCTGCTGCGTTTTTATAGGCCTCTCTTAACACAATCCTAGTAGGAATAAGATAGTAGAAGTTGGCTTGAACTCTACTTCCTTATTCTTGATCTACAAGTAGCCTAAAGAGTTGGGATTCCTTAGCATGTACAGCTGGAGATATTATCATGTAATCACAATCCCAATAGGTCTCTAATTCAGATTGCAGCTTAAAATCCCGTGCTCAGACCTCTGATCCCGAACAGTGTGTTGCAGCATCGTGCTGGAGCATCTTCTGTGTCAACCTCAAAAACTGCAGCAACTCTAGAATTCTAAATAAAATAAACCTCTCCTAACAAATAGAGGTTTCTACCTAGTAAAACAAATGAGATTCTATTTTGTCAAAAGATTAGCCAACACCATGGAACTAACATTAGTATAACCCATATTCTAAAATTAATTGTAAAAAGCAACTCCGATCCCTTTAAACAAACACATTCAAGAAGTTAAATGGTTAGAAGTACTCAACATTGTATGCACTTACTACTACTCAGCAACCAACACTTCTAGAGGCAAACCCCATTCAACAAACTCATAAGTTTCAATAATTTAAAATAATTTTTTTGTGATGAAAATATAAATAAGGTAATGGCTTATTCTATAACAACTAAGATGGAGTAATAATTATTTAACTTAGAAATTGAAAGATTTTATTAAATTTAATAAAATAATGACAATTTCATAATATGAGACATTTGAGTCTTAGCAAAAAATGTGAGGTATCCTCGAGTACCTTTTTTGGTGTTTGATTGGTCAAAGTAACATAACTTTCAATCCTAAGAGCCAAATGAACGGAATATACCTTCTGTGTACATTACCACAAATCCTAAAGACTCTCGAAATATGTTTTAGATGATATAGGACCTCGGAATTCTTAACAAAAAATTGAGCAAACTCCGAAATAATTTTCTTCTAAATTCGGGAGACTAATAGCTAGTCTAGGGGGTGGAGTCCAGATTGATGTCACGGTAGTTTGAATATCTTAATAAATGCCTTTAAGATAAAAAAATTATAATATAAAGTTAGCATATATATCAAAATGTTAAATTTTACAAACATATTGTGGTTACGTTTCACCCTAATTTATTTATGCAGTATTTATTACGGAGTATAAAATAATATATTTGCAATTATTTTTTATAGATTACAAGATTTTGTTTTAAATGTCAGATATGTCACATAATGTGATCAAATCTATTTTTTCTTTCATGATTGACATTTTTTTTCATTGTAACTCCTATTTTTGGAATAAACACATATAACTTTTATTTTTGTACATTTTTTATGTTTTACTCCTATTTTAGTCTTTTTCTCTAAACTATTTTAACTTTCAAATTTGTAAAATAAAAGTTCAAAAAATAGAAAAAAAATTAAATTTTGAAATAAATAATAATGAGAAAAAACTCGGTAATAAAGGGAAAGGTGGGGGGTCTTATATAAAGTATGATTAATAAAACATTCTATGTAATTATTTCATCCATAATTTTAAATAAGTTTAAAATATTGATGTTTCTTATTTTATCATGTAGATTAATATACAAAAAAATGTCTTATTCATATTAAAAAGTTGAAGAAAAATTATAATGAATGTGAATCATAAAAATAGAGTGATGAAAAAAATAATTTATAAACTATAGGTATGAACACGATAGTTTTAATAATAATAATAATCACATTAAAATTATATCATTTAAGCGTAATTGGTTGGGTAGTAGTAGGAAGAGTTTGAAGAAAATGAGAATAATTGGAATAATTTGGAAGAAACTGAAAGAAACTAGAAGAAAATGGAAAAACTAGAAGAATTTAGAAGATATTGGAACTTAAAAGTTTAAACTCTAAATAAAGAACAAAATCTAAATAAGGATCAAGGGTATTTTAGCTCACACCATGCTCGACGTGCTAAGGCACATTGGAGGTTTTGCCTTCAAACTTTGTACTATATATTCGACGACTTTACTATTCTTTTAGTTTTTTTTAATTTTTATAGTTTTTTCTAATCTTTTTCAATTTCTTCCAACAAGAATATAATTAATATGAAGAATATATAATAATATCGATCATATATCTAGATTTATAACATATCATCTCAAACATAGATAAAGATGAACTTTTTTTCAAAATTAATTTTCTTACATATTACTTTGGATGATCATTCAACCAAGTGATTTCCTAATGCTTTTATTTTTCCAACATTTAAGTTAAACCAAATAAACTTTGATCATTAATTAAATACAGAGGAATTCCCAAAACGATCATTTCTAATAGTCCAAATTAGTTTTCAATAAGCAATATTTACCAATATGATCCATTGTAATTCAGATGTATCCCCTACATAGACCTCTATAAAAAATGTTTATTAAATGTATGTCAAATGCAAGGTATTTTGTTATTCTTTCTAGCTCATCGAAACTTAAAATATATTTAAAAAAAAATGCTTCTTTATAATTAAATATATTTCCAAATTGATAATTTCTAAATACATATTTTCTAGAAATGGAGTCTGTAAGACTACCCTTCAGTTGGTATGTTCTTTTAGCAGTCACCCACTTGATTTGAAAGCACCATTTTAAGAATTTGTTTATAGTTTAGATGATGAAAAATACTTAAATATCCTTCATTTAATTATCATTTAATGGACATTTTGACAAAGAACTATTTAGAAAATACATCTTAATTACAATTTACAAAGGACCACGTTGATAATTATTACTTATAGAAGACTAAAATACCTTATTAGAAAAGACTATTTTGAAAATTTACTTTTAAATAAAAAATACGTTGAATATTATTATATAAACCGATTTAATTAGATATATTTTACGAATCAAAAATTAAATTTAAACAATATTTTGAATCAATAGAGGTTACACAACCAAGGTATTTCTTATATGTTACTCGTTCTGTCTCATATCTTTTTTCGCAAAGCATTATTTAATTTTACGAGAACTTTTATTTATTTAAAATTTTCCGCAAATTATTCTTTGAGAAGGAATCAATCAAACTTATCATCACTAAAAAGCCGTTAATATTTCACCATTACGTTAAGAGTTTTGTTCAATTAAGAAGACTTTCATCATTAGTCGCAATTTCCTCTCTTAACTTTTCAACAGACGCGCACTACATGTCAACTACTACCCACATTATACGGAGTCAGATGCGCGGCTTTTTTTTCGCTTTAAAAGTTAAAATCCCCTCCCCATTCAATCAATAATCTCTAGGCTTAGCTTCCGTTGTTTCTTCTTCTTCTTCCTCTCTCAAATTCTCCTATTTTTCCTCCATTCCACGCCAATGGCCACGGCGGCGAATCAGGCCCAATGCGACTCCAAAACCGCCACCAGAATTGTCAATCCGTCCTCCTCGTCCTTCCGCCTCCGCAGCCCTAGTCTCAACTCCGTGCGCCTCCGCCGCATCTTCGACATGTTCGACAGCAACAACGACGGAATCATCACCGTCGACGAGCTCAACCAGCCGCTCAACCGCCTCGGACTGGACGCAAATCTCGCCGATCTGGACTCCACGATCCAGTCCTTCGTCAACTCCAAAAGCGCGGCGGCCGGGCTCACGTTCGACGACTTCCAGGCCCTGCACCGCTCCCTGGACGCCGAACTGTTCGGAGGATGCGGCGAGGAGGCCGTCACCAAGGCGCAGGAGGAGGCGGAGATGAGGGAGGCGTTCAAGGTGTTCGACGAGGACAACGACGGAGCCATATCCGCGAAGGAATTGGAGGCGGTGCTCGCGAAGCTAGGGCTGATCGAGAAAGGCGGCGAGATTGGGCGAGTGGAGCAGATGATATCGTCCGTCGATCGGAATCGCGATGGAGTGGTTGATTTCTCCGAGTTCAAGGAGATGATGAGCTGCGTCATGGGCCGCCATCGCTGATCCAATTGAATCTCAGAAAGATAGGTGAATTTTCCTTTTTTCATACGGAGTATTAGGCTCATCAAATACCTTTGTTTGGTTCATCCTCCAAAGTAGTTTTTCATCTCATTGAATTGTCCATGTTCATATTTTTTGTGTTAAGTTACATTTTGTTTGCTAATTTTCATGGTACCCAAACTTACTTTAATTTTGGTCTTATATGTGAGTTTGTTATCTTGTCCTATGTGAGAATTGTTGGTGGAGATTCTTGTTTCTTGATAGAATATCAGTTAAAGTAGGATCATTGTTCACAATTGAAAATAAAACTAATTATATATTTTGACACGTGGTGAATTGACAAAATAAAAAACGACAAAACTTAACTCATGAATACTCATCGTGTTCGTTGTTTACTTGACAAAGTGTAATACAAGATGATAAAGCTTTTTTGATTTGTGAGTTTTGGCTTTCATTTTGGGTACATGTATTCTAAAAGCTCAAAGATTTGATATGATTTCTTGAATGAAAGTATTTGGAGATATCATGGGTGGACGGCGGTTACTCAAAGGCAGTGAGTAGTTAGAGGCAGTGGCGGACATGTAAGAGAAATACTTCAAATATTCTTTTTTAGCAGTCGACAGTCGCAGGAACTTTTGTTTATTTCTATGTTTTCATTGGTTATTTGATAAAATAAAATATTCTTGACATCTCTTATTTCAAAGAACTTTTCATGTAGTTTTTTGATATGTAAGATCTCTTAAATTCGAAAGATTTCAAAACTCTCCTTTTGAAAGAATTATTGTGATGTTGAGAGCTATCAAATTCAAAACCTAATTAAACATTAATTAGGGAATATTAGACTCCATATTTTACATCACAACACCTATGACTTAACCAATCTAACCATCCAAACAAGTGTTCTAAGTTCCAACATCATCAAGAACAAACACTTCAACGAAATATATTCATAGTCATTTAACTAAAAAAATCATGTACGGAGTATAATTTTGGGATCACACACAAGAGCGTAATTGTAGTCTAATCTCACTTCAAATCAAGAACTTACGCTAAAATGAATATCAATATATTTTACGCATTGCACAAAGTTGGAACAAATACATATATTGATACACATATTCCATATGTGAATTCCTTTATACGGAGTACTTCGTAAAATATTAGAAAACTCTCTAGACAAGAGTATAAAATTATAAAAACACCAAGGATTTAAAGTTTTTTACGACCAAAATATGAGTTCACACTGACATTTTTATGTTGCCACGCACACCACAATGTAACACTGTAACCGCGATACTATCACCGTCACACTGTCATCCGTCGCCACCAGCCATCAGAGTGTCGTCGCCGATCGATCGCCGACTTTGACCAGTGGTCCATGAGCGGTTGACTGAACACAATGTTATATTACATTGCCATCACTTACTTGAAAACGTAAAGCACACAGAACATAAGCGTAATGTACTGTGTGAAAAAGTAAAGCATGTAACAAAAAACGGATTTTATCTCATGAAATTACCCTCGTCTTTGTGGTTAAAAGCAATGAATGATTTTTTTTCAGCTCTTTTCTCACACGATTTTAACTTAAAATAAAGCTACTATAGTTCAAAGTTACACATCACAATTAAAATTTTAGATTAGTTTTTTTACTGGTACATGATTGATGTCTTTGCATAAGACACGCGTATTATGTACATTTTACGACATGAACTATGTGACTCATTTTCTTCCATATATGGACTAATTATGCTATGGTTGTTTGACCACATGAACTATGTGACTCATTTTCTTCCATAAAAAAGGGTTAACCCCATCTCTGAGGGATTCATCACACCCAGTCGAACGGTCACAGAGATAATGTAAATTTGACTCGGATCACAGATTGATGACAGAGAGTGAAACATGCACCTGGTACTTACAGAAGCTATATGCTTAGCATAATTACCTCCCAACGCAATTATCAGAAATCAAAATCGGATATATATAACACTTGACACTTTCTGCCTTTACCAACTACCTAACTTCCATTTTCATTTTTTACCAACACTATCTAAAAATCGAAGCCATGATTATCCAAACGTGCCTTTGAATTCAATATAACTTCAGATTAACTACTTAAATACCCCGGAGTAAAATTTTCGTACAAAATTTATGAGTTTGAGAAACAATTTGAAATCATTTTCCAAATAATTTTATGAACTCTTGAAGACAAAGAGTTGACACGTTTACAACGGCCTTCTTTGGATGTTGACACGAGACCGATCTAAGATTAGAGTTTAAACACATTTGAAAAATATTTTTTAATACAAATACTACGTATATTTATACTTTAAACATAATTTTTATTTAAATATGTTTATCATCTCAATGCAAAAAAATAATATTTTGTATTAATTTTTTTATACATTTACTAATAGAGTAAAACAAAATAAACAATCTTAAATTCACCAAAATACAATTTATAGTTTTTTTTTGGTTCATTTCATCCAACTTTTATTTTAGAAAAAAATTTTCATGATGTAAGAGGCTTATTGTAAATCAACAAAATATTGGAATAAAAAAAGTAAGAATTTATCTTTTTTTATTTTTTTAAAGTACAAAAACAAAAAAATTTACATACTCTCTTTGTTATCAAAAAAACATCTTCTTTCATTTTTTCTATTTCCAACAAGACACTTTCACTATTTATTAAAAACCATCTCTACGCTTACTTTTTCATACCCTACATATCACATCTTACTTTTTTTTCTCTAATAATCAATCTATTACATATTACTTTTACCATCACATTAAGGACAAAATTGAAAGTCAATTACAATTTTACATATCATTATTTTTATACTTGGTTAAAATGGGAACCTTTTTTTAGAGAACGGATGTAGTATTTTTATTTTATTTTATTTTATTGTACTAATACATACTCCCTTTGTCTTAAATTAGTTATCTTCTTTACTATTCGAGGCTTCCAATAACTTTTAATGGTGTAGAAGTTTTCATTGAGCATTTGATAAAATAAAATATACATGTTACTACTTTTTAATAGATTTTAATATAATTTTTGAATATATAAATTATATAGAGTATTTTTTATTTTTATAAGTATTTATAAATAAATTACTTGAAAAGAGATTAAATTGGGAAATGAAAAAAATTTAAATCCTACGTTGAGAAATGACTTATATTTTATTCCTATTCAGTGTAAATTTCACGATTAAATTTACACATTTCATATTCTTAGAGCATCTCCAAGGTGTAGTGTAAAAATTGGTAGTGTAAACTTCATTTTACACTATCAATAATATTTTACATTTCCATTTTTTATACTTATTCCAACCATATCTTCTATATAATACACTTTTTATAATATTTTTTTGTTTTAAGTTACTTATTTTTAATGATTTTTAAAAAAAAGACATAATAAATATCTTGTACATATGAAAATGGAGAAGAGGGAAGGAAAAAAATAAAGAAAATTAATTTTTTATTCTTTCCACTATGTATAGTGAACTTGTAAAAATACACTTTGGAGATTGTTTTTTACATTACATTGCATTTTACGAATTGGTTTACCCCATTGGATTGTTGAAAGGCAACATTAAATTGTATATAGTGTATATTTTAACATATAGACTAGCGTAGGAGTTGCTCTTACTAAGAAATTTGCTTGCAGCCACATGGCGCGTTCGCGCAGTCTTCCATTCCGATATCCGGCTAAGAAGTTAGCTTGCAGCCAAATTCAGCCCGCCCTGGCCACCGCCGTAATCCCCATATGACGTTCAAATGTCACTTCCTGGAATAATTACCCAATCCCTTTATCCCAGCGAAGAATACGGAAGAAGATGAAGAAGAAGACAAGAGATACAATTGGCACAATAAAAATATGCTTAGATCGTTTGCGGGGCCATTGTCGGCGTCTCAATCCTTGTCGCGGTCTATGAGTATATATAAACAGTTGATTGGTTTTCAAAACCTCTCGGACTCAATAATCAATTCATCTTCCCAAACGCGACTTTGCGGTTTCCAGATTCTTCTTCATCCTCGTTCGCCAAGACCTTACGTTGCCCCAAAGGGTACTTATCTTTTATTTTTATTTTTTTTAACACTTTATGAAATTATTTTTTTTAAATTTCCCTTTTTCTGCTTGGCAATCCACGCCCAGTTCCTCCTCTCCAAAAAATCTTGGGTCAGTTTTATCCAATAAAAAAATATAAAAAAATTAATTCTTTGGTTAATTTCAGGTTTGGTTTATGGAATTTGGGTCTCACATGATGGGGTGACATTTTGTGTCGTGACTCTCGTGTTGTGTTTTGCATTTATTTTAGTTAGGTTGTGCAGGTGGGACTGTGGGAGTAGAAACTTTGGTCTCAAATGATTATCCAGATGATTGTGGAGCTTTGACCTGCAGGATTCAATCATACAATCTGATTTGTTTAGGATTCTTGGTTTGTAAACGTTGTACAGAAAATTATTCTGGGAAACGCACTGGGTTTTCCCATCAAATTGCAGATTTGTTGCTGCTTTTGTTCTTGTTTTCCCTGGAATGGTAAATAGAAGTTAAACAGATTGTTTGATCTGAGGGAGAGTTAAAGAGATTTGGGTACGATGACGGATAGGATGCAGAGGTTTCTTGTGGAGGTTCTCACAGAACCTCAACGCGGAGGGGAGTCGTTGCTTGGTTCTATCAAGATTGCAGTTTTACCCATTGCTAAAGTTTTCACAATGTGCTTCATGGGGTTTCTCATGGCTTCTAAGTTTGTCAATGTTTTGCCTGCAAATGGAAGAAAACTTTTAAACGGGGTAAGCATTCTCACGTTTAAATTGAGGTACATACGTACATTCACCCCATTTCGTCTGTGTTGATTTCTGTTCTTGTTTGCTTCTTGAATCTCTAGCTAGTTTAGTTCTCTAAGTCTTATGTGAACCAATTTTTCATATCTTGATGCTATTAGACCGTTCCAGAATAAATTCCCATTCCTTTTAAGGATAGCAATGAATGGTTCCCATTCTTTTACTATTTTCTCCATAAACCTCAATCACACAATTTCACTCTCTTGAACTCCTTGCAAAAGCAAACATGAAGTTTAATTTTGGACAGAAATTTTGCGTAGTTTATAATGGAACTACTTGGGGTTTCACTGGCATCTCTAGGATGTTTCAATCTCGCATTCAGTAATTGCTTCAGGATTCTTGGTCATAGTAGTTTACTAGACACTCCCTCAGCCCCTGAATAACATTATGGGATGTTTAACTTGGCATGGTTTTAATTGAATAATTTTTCCTTTTTCGCTTCCTAGTTTGTCCTTTTTCCTTTATGTTGTTGAGAGTACGGATAAATGGTGGAGATATTAAATGAGGATAGAGAAGTAAGTTACATCCTCACTTTTAATAAATAGAAAGGGCAGCTGTATATAGGAACAAACCAAAAAGGAAGGGATGTTATTTGGGATGGGACAGAGGGAGTCTATATTTGCTCATATTTGTTATGACTAGGAAATACATCGTCATGATCGAATTTCTGCCTACCAAGTACTGAACTACCAACTAAGATGGATTAAACAAAATGCAGTTGGTCTTTTCACTTTTACTCCCGTGCCTGATATTCGCCCAACTTGGACAAGCAATCACATTTGAGAAGATGCTTCAGTGGTGAGGATATATTACTTCTTATAGTTTTGTGAGCACATCTTCACTGAACTTATCTAACGTTATACCCTACTGTTTGTCAGGTGGTTTATCCCGGTTAACGTTGTCCTTGCCACAATATCAGGCTCCATAATAGGTCTATGTATTGCAACAATCATCCGTCCGCCATATCCATTCTTCAAGTTTACGATTATACATATTGGAATAGGTAAGTCAAATTCTGATTGTTTTTTGTAGAGTTTTAGGTGTTCTGATTTTTTCCGGTTCTATAGTTTGGGTTTTATGTGGTTGAATAAAGCTTTGTGGGAGTGTTTGAATGAAAATATATAAATGGACCAGATTTTTTAGATTTCAGTACTTTTGGACTATCATGTGCACAGTGGCAATAGATGTTTCTCACAGTTATTGACAACTTTGACCACATACAAAATTTAAGAGAATGAAAATGTGTGGTTAAAGTTTATTTACAAGAAAAAGAAGTAATGTGAACCGCATATTGCTTTCCTTAATGTAAATAACCTATAATTTTGGGAGTTGGGACAAGCTACAACCGAAAAGTGAGAAAATAATCTAGAGATGAAAGGAGTAAATGATACTATGAGTGTGTACTAGTCTCATTGAAGTTCTGATGAAAAATGGAGCAATTAAAAGAGTCACTTTGGCATTAATATTTCTAAATCCTTGTTGTGCATAAAGTTAACTTGTGTGTGATGCATTTACATATAGGGAATATTGGAAATGTACCACTTGTGCTGATTGCAGCATTATGCCGTGATAAATCAAATCCTTTTGGTGACTCTGATACGTGCTCTCAAGATGGAAATGCATACATCTCATTTGGCCAATGGGTATGTAGTTTTCATTGTCAATGTTTTCTTCAATACCTTATCATTCTTTTTAAAAAGAAAATGGTTAAATGTTATATCAAATATCCAAAAAAACATCATCAGGCATACTGGTGTTGACGTCACTTCGTGCCCAAACTCAGCAACTGATACTGGATTTTAGAAAGTAGACATTGATCCACTTCTTCTATATGAACATCAGAGCATAGGAGACAATCTAACACATAAATACTATTGGGGGTATAGAGAAGGTTGCCCAACCATAGAGGCATAGAGAACCTGAGATGGATTTGTACCATTGAACCATGAAAGGCAGTATTGTACCGAAACGCGGTCCTTCGCAAAAACTTAGAGCCATTGTCAGAGGTGCAAATTTACAAAACTTGGAAGATATTGTTCAAAGGCATTTACTAACAAAAAAAGTCTTTAACTGATATTCTTGCTAACCTGTACATTTTATTTAGTACAATGTGTCCCATTGTACCACTAGAATAGCAGATTAGCAGTTAGCACCATGCAGACTCTCATTGATATGTACCATTGTACCACTAAAATGAGTATCCTGAGTCGACTGGTTGGACCTTCTCCAGTGTTGTAATTGATTATCTTTAGTGTGCTCAACATATATCATCTAGATAGGTTCTGGGAGATAGTACACTCACCGCTTCATTTTTTTAAGCCACACTTGTATTCACCAAAAAGAGCTTCTTTTGACCAACTGTGCACTGTGCAGTCTGTGCTCTAGGCACTTAAATTCTTCGTCACTCTAAGAGAATTAAAGTTTGCTGTCGGCAGTATGTTCTTCAAACCTTCACTCATATTGAGCCCTTCGGATGGGCCAAACTGTGCTTAAGTGATCTCATGATGTGTTCATTGATACGTGTGCCACACCCCTGTCACCATTGGTCGGATTTTGGGTCCAACCGTCCAAGTGATATATTGCAAGGGAGATTTATGAGCAATCAGGCAGAAGTTGGGCTTTAAATACTTGAGTGACCCGATTGAACCACTCTCTTTTGTTAGGGTGCTAACTGTGTTACGGGGAACTCCAAATGAGTTGACCAAGATCCTCAGGTTCTACCACGGTTCCCAGTCCTGTTGTTTGTTCTGACTTTTCCTGGTGCCGTAGTCTGGGACTGTACCTAATGACTTTGAGTATTCTAAGATGTTTTGCATCCCGGCTAACATTTTAAAGTCCGTTTCTCAAATGTATGTGGTACTGTTGATTCCTCTCTCTTTGTGAGTTGGAGAGAGTCTCTGGAACCAAATGATGAACTTAAGGATAAAAATTACGAGACTAATTTGATATGTGAGCTTGTGAGAAACAATTCTTTGTTTTTTGTAATCAGTTAATCGCTAATTATGACTTCTTTTCAGTATGAAACTATAATTTTTAATATAAAGGCTTGTATTGTAATTCTTTGAAAAAAGATATAGTGCAGAGAGGTGTTTCAAAATTTTCTGTGAACTTTGCGAATAGAAAAAGAGGCAAAGTCAGCATCAATAAGATAATGCAAGATTCTATTTAGCTGCCACCAAATTTTGAAAATTATACTGTAACTGCTACCGGTGCTCTTTGGCTTTATCTACGAAGTAAAAAAAGGAATGGGATGGAACTCAAACGTTTGAATCTTGCATTTAGGTTGGAGCAATTATCCTGTACACCTACGTATTCCATATGCTTGCACCTCCTCCTGAAGGTACCTTTGACATTGAAGATGGGCATCTTCCATTGAAGGCTCCTAATAGAGTTAGCTCACATACTGCTGCAAAGGACATCTCCCATGAGCAACTTCCATTGCTTGTGCAGGAGCCTCCAACTCCTGAGTCAACTGGTTCACACAAAGATAAGGTAGGTGATTATATTACTGCAAGAGAAAACCAGATATGCATAAATATAATTTCCTTACGGCATGTTTGGGAACTGGAATTTAAATTTCAAATATGGATTTGGCTCAAATTCCATGTTTGGGAAATCTAAAAAAATTGGTTTTTGATTTGAGGCAAATTTCTCTAATTCATTACAAAGCTCAATTGCAAATCCACATGTCGCCGCTTGTCATTTGAAATGCAAGAATTCAAATTTTAGATTGAAATGCAAGAATTGAAATGAAATGCTAGTTCCCAAACGCTACCTTATGAAAGTTATTAACAATATGGTTCTGGTGTTTTGGAACTTATAATAGCTCTAATGCACTGATTCTGGATTTTTTTTGCAGATTATGGAATTCTTCAGGTTTCTGTACGAAAAGTTGAAGCTTCAGCAAATCATCCAACCGCCCATAATTGCTTCAGTAAGTAATTTAGGCTTGTCTCTTCTATTTACTGCCCAAGGGTGACTCCACATTTCTGGCTTTGAAATAACCGCCACTCAATCCGTTTTCTTTGAAACAGATTCTAGCTATCTTCTTAGGATGTATTCCATTCTTCAAGAAACTTATATTCACTTCAGATGGTCCATTTTACTTCTTCACTGACAGCTGCCTTATTCTTGGGTAATGTTTAGAGACTCATTATGTGGTTTATTTAGTTTCACCTTTTCTTTTGTCTCTTCATAGTAAACTTAACTAAGCGGTTGTCTCTTGTTGCTATCAGGGAGGCCATGATTCCATGCATATTATTGGCATTAGGAGGCAATCTTGTTGAGGGTAAGTCGTCTGCAAAATGGATGTCTTAATTGTATAAAAGAAATCACCCTAAATAGGAGTAAAATATAGAGAAAGTACCTAAATAGAAGCTCCATGTTTTGATTTTGATCCCCAAAATAGGAGTTTGCATTGTGATAATGTGGCACTGTATATGGACATTTCACAATACTTTTTTGGTATTATATATTGGCATGATTGACATTGTATTTGCATTTTAACTCATATTTTGAGAATAGAAACATGGAATTCCTCTTTTGGTATATTTTCTATATTCTACTCCTACTTAAGTCTTTTTCCCTCCGTATAACGAATCAAGAATGATGTTATTTCAAATATGTTAGTAAGAATTGGTTCAAAAATCTGCAGGTCCAGGAAGTTCAAAACTTGGTTTACGGACAACGGCTGCGATCATATTTGGGCGGTTGGTTTTAGTTCCTCCAACCGGGCTTGGAATTGTCACGTTGGCTGATAAACTCGGTTTCCTTCCCGCCGGTGACAAGATGTTCAGATTCGTCCTCCTCCTCCAACACACCATGCCAACTTCTGTGCTTTCCGGTAACTAAACCTCTCTTCCCAAAACCAAAACCTCTTTTTCTAGAGGGGAGAGACATAATTTCATTGTACAATAAGAAACCAAATATAAATTCTATTCCAACAATAAAATCCCGCTAAAAGTAGAGTCCGGGAGGATTTTACCCCTACTCAAAAGTAGCTAGAAAGGTTGTTTCTAAGAGACACCCAGCTCAAGCACAGTCAAAGTAAACGAACAAAGGCACACAACACAAACAAAGTAGTACGTAGCAAATATAAATCTATCAATTTTGAAAAATAATAATAAAAGTCGTCGGATGTTTTCTTTTTCCTTCCATGGCAGGGGCGGTTGCGAATTTGAGAGGGTGTGGGAGAGAGGCGGCGGCAGTGCTGTTTTGGGTTCACATTTTTGCGGTTTTCTCTATGGCCGGATGGATCATCCTCTACCTCAACATATTGTTTTAAGCCGGTACTACTACTACTTTCAGCCCTCATATGTATGTACAACTCCCATCCCAGTGTTCATACCAAAAATGTGATTCAATTCTTTTATGAGAAATTTACCTAAATAGGACTAAAACATAATGACTTTCCCAATATAGGACCATATGTTTTTATTTTCTAATGTATGATTTTTGGTCATTATGAAGTAGTCATTATTCAAGTAAATGTCTATCATTACTGGACATTATTCCTCTCACAAGGTCATTATTAAGTCTTATTTAGGAAATAAAAAAGTTTAAGTCCTACATTAGGAAAGTCATTATGTTTTAGTCCTATTTACTGCAAATTTCACTTCTTTTATTCTGCTTATCTTCTCATGTAATATTAACAGACGAAAATATTACTCCCCGTATTAGAAAGAAGTCATCTTTACCTAAAAAAAACACTTCTTATGGGCACCTTTTTTTTGGGCTACAAAATTTGGGGGCTCTGTGCAGCCTACACTTTCTCTGACTTTTTGTGCCAATTTTGGAGGCTATGTGTGTGGCCTACAATTTATACAATTTCTCTCTGACTTTTGCTTTTGTCTCTCTAAAATATTATTCAAATTACATTATACATGTAAAATATTTTTTTTGCAAATAGTCCGCCCACTAGTTTAGGTCCTGTTCTCTTCAATTTATTCTTATTACTTGTTACTTTTTTTGTTGGAGTCATATCAGATCAGATCAGAAACATCTTTAAATATAACTACATTCAGATCATAATTTATTTTAATCGGATCAGAGTCATTCAAATCAAGTGAAGAGAACACGATCTTAGAGGTTCATAGGTCTATCATAGAATATCTCTAGAACGATTCGATAACTCATACAAAATGGGATACATCATGATGTACAGTAACACATTTTCATGGAAATACATATTTCACCGATATATAGTATGAATAGAATTGTCATACATATTAATATTATGGGTGGAAAATGTTTATACCTATAAATGTTGTGAGCAAAAGTTTGTTGATGTACTCATGGAGTCATGTATACACCAAACATGGTACATATAAGGCGTTAGGATGATAAGAAGCAAATAAGGGTGCGATAATAATAATAATAATAATAATAATAATAATAATAATAGTAATAATAATAATAGTAATAATTATAACAATAACAACAACAACAACAATAATAATTCCATATTTGCAAATATTTCGATCGTCAATAATATTGAGCACAACTAAATAAAAAGGTGTGACTTTAATATTGGGACAAAAAGTATATTATTTAGGTGTTTTATCCGTTCATATAAATAGGTCAAAACTGTTGATAAGTTATTTCTAAATTATACTCATAGGTCACTTGATGATTTAATTCTCCGTGCTTATAAATTGTTTGTAGGTAAACAAAAGAGCAGGTCTTACCTGTTTATTTTTAAGTCCTTAACTATTCCTTATCTTTTATGAATATTGTCAAATGATTAGTCACTGTAAAATAAGCAAGTTTTGTTTTTCTTAAACGTGATTGTTGCTTCTAATCAGATAAATTATTACATTTATTTTTTACTCAACATCTTAGTCTTGTATTTCTAATTACGTCTGGCACAATTTTCAACCCCTAAACTGTATACTTATTCATATTACCCCTTCAATTCTAAAATTTCTAAAGAATATATAATATGGAGTATGATAAAAATATTTAGGAATTGGAGATGTAATTTTATAAAAGCCATAATTTAAGGCATGAGATTTGTGTCAGAAGTAATTAGAAATGTAAAACTAAGTTGTTGAGTATGAAATAAATATGTTATGTCTGCCAATTAATTGTCTTACATATAATGATCATTTTCAAAATAAAAAAAATTATAAAGATGACTTTAACAAAAAGCATTTTATGGGGATAGAAATAAAATTTACCTATTTTACAGGGACTAAAAATATATTTAATAAAAAATTTAAAGTACTCATATTTTTTAAAAACCTAATACTCTCCTCGTCCAAAAAGAAGGCATCATATATGACCCATAAAAAATGTTGATATGATGATATTTTAGAATAAGTTTATTGTATCAATACCCTATATAGTTTTTTTATTAAATATGCACTATTACTTTCTATGATTTCAAAATTTAAACCGTTGTCCCTTATGGTTATGATATTGTAATGCAAAGGCCTCTCTGGACAAAAATACCCTTCAAGTATGAATGAATATCTCTGCTATCCCTATGGTTTCAGAAATGGACACTAATAGCCCCTCTCCTTTTTCTTAATTGTTTTTTTCTTTTCTTTTTCCATAAAGAGTAGAATAATGTTTATGTTTGAAATAATGATTTTTTTTTCAAAAGTCAAAAGTGTATCTTTAAAAAAGTTTTCAAAAGTAAAAAATATTTATTTTTGAAATAAAAAATGAAATAAAAAAATTTAATTTCTACTTTATTTTTCAATTTAAATATTTAAATTTTTTGTCTAAAAAGTTTTTATTTTTATGAATATGTCGAGACCAAATCAATACAAAGTAAGGTCTTTTTAATACGGGAAAAAGACTAAACTAAGAATAAAATTTTGAAAATATACCAAAATAGGACTTTCATGTTTTTATTCTTGAAATAAGAGTTAAAATGTATTTACATTACCAAGCATGATCATGTACATTGCCAAAAAGTATATTAATGTGCACGTGTACAATGCCACATTACATTCACATTACCACAATGCGAACTTCTATTTCAGGAATGAAAACATTGAAGTCTTATTTTAGTACTTTTCTATGTTTTAGTCTTATTTAGGGTGATTTCTATTTTAATATATAGTTAATTTACTTAATTATATATTAATAACATATTTTGGACTGATGCACAACAGATTTTCTTCATCACTTAATTTTCTCTATTTTATAAAAGTATTTTTTCATATACTTTTCTTTTCTATTCTTTTTTATTTTATTTTATTTTTTATTAAAATAAAAGAAACGTTGTAAAATTAATTTTTTTGAAAAAATGAAAAAGGGAAAAATAATAGATAAAGAAACTATAAAATGAACAGAAGATGGGAAATGGGCTTTAGTGTAAAAAGAGAATGTTTCATTGAATTTTGTATCATGAAAATGAATCAACAAAAGCCTCATTTGGACAAAAAAATAAAAATGTTTAATTTAAGACAAAACCAATAAAGAAAAAATGAGAAGGGGGTATTGGTGCCTATTTCCAAAACCATAAGGCAATAGAACTATTCACTTAATATTTAAAAAATATTTTAGTCTAGATGGGTACTCGTGTAGTAATATCAGAACCATGAGGTGCAACAACGTAAGTTTTGAACCATGAAGAGTAACGATGCTCATTTATCAAACCACAAGGGGTATTGGTGCAAATACTCTCTCTTATCCTAAAAACTCTTCCGATTTTAAATTTTTTTGGTCAAACGTGATATTCTTTGGCCATAATTTGTGAGAAAATTGTATTGAATTATAATATAAATTCAAAATAACTAGGTTTATTTTAGGATATAGATTTGATATATCAAATTTATATAATATTTATTTGTTTAAATTATATTTATTTTGTGGTTAAAAAGTATTAATATTTGACTAAAATAAGTTAAAACATGAAGAGTTTTTAGACCGGAGGGAGTAGTATGTATGATGGGAACGCAACCCATTAGGCTGCTTCGGCCATTAAGAACAAAAATTTAACAAGCCCATTAACATGCTTAGCCCATTAAGAAACAGGCTGCGCTAGGGAGGTCGTTGGGTGAGAATAATAGAAGCACAAATTTGTTTCCAGTCGTTGGAAGAAACTGGAAGGAGTTAAAAAAAATTGGAAGGAGTTGAAAAATGTTTGAAGATTTTAAATGTCAAAAAGTCACTCGATTAAATAATCATCCAAATAAATATGTAAAAAACTCTAATTTTAGATTAAAAAAAATTCATCATTGTCCATGTTTGAGGTAATATGTAATAAAATTGGATATATAATGTTATTTATATTAATTATATATAAATACTTTTTTTAAGTTGTTGGAAAAAACTGAAAAAAATTAGAAAAAACTAAAACTTAATTTTTTTCAATCCAAAAGAACAAGCCATAGTATGAATTAGTAAAGGAGAATAAGAACAGTTTATTGGAAAAGTCCGTTGATCCATCAATGTGTTATGTAAAAACAGACCTTTATTTGTTCAATTCATGGATAGGCTCGCATGAACATTTGGAAATCTCACTCCTGACACACTAAATAATAATTTTATTTATTTATTTATTTATTTATAAAGCGATTATTTGAACGACATAATAAAAAATTATATTAGACGTGTTTCTCAAATTTTGCCTTTTTGTCTCTTAAAAAAAAGCTGATAACCGGACTTCCAAATTACATATATCCGAAGTAAAAATTGAGAACTATTTTCACGCTCTAGCGCAAATATAGTGCAAAAAATGACTTTGTATTATATAACAAAATACTCCGTATAAAAGTGAGGTTTTAGTGTTTTACTAGTAAAGACTACAAGAGATAACTCACTTCTTGTCGTTGAAATTACTTTTTTTCTACACACCTCTACTCACTCACATACACCAAAAATCAAACTTTGTTAGATTGTCACAATTCATCACAAATGAAGGGCTCTCTCAAAATGGTTGATCCCCAACACTTATTGAGGTGCACTTTTGCACTTGGGTGGCCTAGCTAGCCAATGTTTTAATTTCAAAGAAATAAGCATCATAATATCACGTTTCAACGAAATTGTTAAATACAGAATTTAGTATTTACAATTTGATCACGTTCAACCCACAATAAAGAATTCTAGTAACTAGTAATTTGATAACTCGAGGACTATAAGTGTGCAAATGCAAAAACAAGGGATGAAAACAAAAATTAGGTGACAACTAAACGACGAATAAATGATTGAACCGTGATCGAACCGAAGTTCTTTATATCCACCCGTTTAGTCCGATTTTTGAAGCATTGGTAATCATAATGCTAAAGCTTAATCTGGAAAGTAATGATCTCATTACTCACAATTAAGAAAATGAACCATTAAAAAAACTCATAAAAACTTTCCAATGCAAAAAGATCATTGCATTATCTCTCATTTCTATTTTTGCCCATACCTTTTCCTTCATGGTTTTTGCATCATATATTAGCAATACACAGCTGCAATGGACCAGAAACCATATATGGATTATTCTCACACCCTTCTTTATATGATAATCTGTACTGCAAAAAACATAGTGTAAGAAAATAAAAATGCTTAGATCAATGTGGAAAGACGGAGAATGCAATAGCCAGAAAAGGAGAAACAGTCCCCGGCTTTCGGCTCTAAATCTCAACAAGGAAACTCAAGAGAGGAAAAAAATTTCTTCGGATGATGCAAATGAGAAGATAGAATGCAAAGGAAAAAAGCCCGGGCCACCCTCCCGGGCGAAGGGGAGGGCCAAGAGAAAGTTCCCCCATTTGGCTGCC